TGTGTGTGTGTGTGTGTGTGTGTGTGTGTGTGTGTGTGTGTGTGTGTTACTGAAATATGCTCTGAGGTAAGGATGTGGGGATTTCTAAAAAGAAAATTACTGAAAGTTATTTCTTGGTGTGGGTTAAGTGCTAGCCCAAGGTATGTTAACTACATAACTTCCTGAACTCTCACAGAGCCTGGAGTCTTTAAAATTCAACCTGAAAGCTTTCAAACCACATCGTTCTTTTCTTCCTTTATTGATTCATGTGGAAAAAAAAAATACATTTGAAGAGTGTCTGCTGCGTGCTAGGTTCTGTGAAAAACGCATGTTTTAATGACCATGTTAAGGTCCCAGGCAGAGAAGTGGCTGCTCAGGGAAGGAGGGAGCATGGACAATGAGCCGGACATGATCCCCACTGAGACCTCACTAGTTTGTTCTGCAGCTCGTTCACTCCATCCCTCCTGTCATGTCCTCTAATCCCACTCCTTGTCTTCCAGCATGCTTTGCTCCAGTGGCCCACGCTTTTCAGCCATTCTTCCTCACTATTCAAGCCTACTATAAAAGGACATGTAGTCTTACTAAATGTGTTATCTTTGAAGATTCAGCATTTGAATTATATGTGGTGGATGTGTGTGCTTAGTATGTGCACATGAGTACCGGAACCCAAGGAACCCAAAGAGGTCAGATCTCCCTGAGCTTGAGTTACAAGATGTTGTCAACTGTCTGGTGTGGGTGCTAGAAACTGATCTCTAGGCATCTATGAAAGCAGTAAGTAATCTTAATCAATGAACCATCTCTCTAGCCCCCTTAGATGTATTCTCAACAAATATTTAATTTATAACCATTCTAATGAAAGAAACAGAAATATACTTGAAATGGTGTGTGTTGCTACGAATTAATGATTCCATTCTGACGCAGAACATAAAGAGAAGAAATTTAGCTCCAACATGGTAGAGAGTTGATAAGAGATGTAACTCTTGGTGCTCCTGAGTCACAGGTATACAAACTTTCCTTACATGGCCTTATCAACCACTTCTTTTCTTCATTCTCGGATTTTTCTCCTGCGACAAATATTTGAGAGAAACCACTTAAAGGAGGATCTATTTAGATTCAAACTTTCAGAGGAATTTGCATTATTCTTAGGATTATAATATAATTACACTATTTCTCCCCTCTTTTCCCTCCCAACAAGCCCTTTATATACCTCTCCTTGCTCACTTTCAAACTCATATCCTTCTTCATTCATTACTGCTATATGCATATAATATATATTATATACTTAAATATATATTTTATTATATATTAGGTATATTATATGTATGTATGTATGTATATAACGTACCTAAATATAACCCACTTAGTCTGTTAATGTTACTGGTATATATGTTTTAAGGGTTGGCAACTTGGTATTAGATAACCAGTTAATATGCTCCTTCCAGGGGAAGACTATTTATCTCACTCTCACTATTTCTTAGCTGTCTGTAACACTTTGTGTAGAACAGCAGTTCTATGGTCTTTCTGTTGTCGTCCTTATTCATCTCATGTTTAGGTCGTCATGGTGGTGAGACTTTATGAGTGTACCCTCTGACATTACTAGAAGACACAATCTCATAGCCAACCCCATAATCCTCTGGCCATTACAGTCTTCCCACCCCCTTTTCTTCACTGTTCCGTGAGCCTTAGGGTGCAGGAGTGTTTTATAGATGTATCCATAAAACTGGACTTCTCAGTCTGCATTTTGAATTGGTTGTAGTTTTCTGTAATGGTCTCTATCTGTTGCAAAGACAAGTTTCCTTAAAGAGGAATGAGAACTACACTTATTGTGGGTGTAAGGCTAAATTTTTACAGTGCTTGGGGTTATTCTGTTTTATTAAAGTAGTAGTTATAAATTCTCCTCCAAGCACCACAGTAGATGGAAGTTTTGTGAGGCTGGATCATCTCAGCCAGCTGTTCTAGATGTAGAACTCAGAGGAAACTGCAACTGGTCCTCTGTTCCCATTGGAGATTTTTTAGGGGTTCTTCCTCAATCAAACCTTATTTTTCTTAATCCAGAATGAATCCTCAGCCTCTCATTTTCGGTGGAAACAAAAGTAAAACCTCTTCTCCAAAGTAATATATCTTTTGACTGAAATTCTGAAGTCAAGGCATTTTCAAAATATATAGGTTGGATTAACCTGGCAGCATTTATAATCAAATGTCTTTAGCAGTTGCTGTTGCTCCTTCCTCGGCAGTCAAACAAGTCAAAGACAACACGAAAACATACAGTATCCAAATTCTGTGTGTTTTACATATTTATGTGGCTTTTTAAACTCTATTTCTTTTATTTTTACTTTTTTTTAATTTTTGGGTTTTTGAGACATGGTTTCTCTGTATATCTTTGGCTGTCCTTTTGACCAGGCTGATCTCGAATTCACAGAGCTCCACCTGCCTCTGCCTCCCGAGTGCTGGGATTAAAGGCGCGCGCCACCTCTGCCTCCCGAGTGTTGGGATTAAAGGCGTGCGCCACCTCTGCCTCCTGAGTGCTGGGATTAAAGGCGTGCGCCACCTCTGCCTCCCGAGTGTTGGGATTAAAGGCGTGCTCCACCATGCCCTGCTATGAAATTTCTTTTTTTAAGGACTTTATCTTTTTTTCTGCAGGACAGAAACTTCTGTCTACAATCCATAGCTTAACTAGAACTTAGTAGCTGACTATGTTTCTAGTACCAGGCATGGTTTCCATCTATCTGAGTGGATCTTAATCCCTAGTAGAGAGCTGTTAGGTGCCATTAAAGTATGCATACCACCACCATACGCTTAGAGTTATACCATGCTGATCATTTTTCAGATTCGTATGTGCCATCACCATGTAGACTGTTGGCTGCATTCCTAATCATCAGGAAATAGGCTTCCAGGTCAGTTCCTGTTCAGGAGCCTCTGGACCCCATTTCTGAAGGACGTGGTGTCTTTAGCAATAGGGGATTACCTCCTACATATGGGGGGGAGACAACCAAAGGAATAACAATAGGTTGTTTGTTTTGGTATTTCTTGGACACCCATGTCCAACAACTTAAAAAGGGCTCCTCACATCTGGCATTGGGATTTTATTAGATGGCCTTTAACTCTTGAAGGGAGCATTTCAGCTCAGTTAAGAAAAGTTCATTAAAGCTGTGTGTGTGTGTGTGTGTGTGTGTGTGTGTGTGTGTGTGTGTGTGTATTTAGTTCATGGTTAGCCTATTGCTATAAAGTGAGACAAAACATCATGACAACAGGAACAGGTCATCAGACAGAATCACTTACCTCATGGCATCTAGGAAGCCGAAGTGGGGACAGGAAAAGAGATGACCCCTTTCCCAAGATGAGCCCACAGTGATCTCCTTCTCCAGATAGACCACGCCTCCTAAAACTTATAGCTGAGCACCAAGGTGTGTCTATTCCATATTGAAATCACAGCATTCTAAATAGTGCCAACTCAGGTCACCAGCAGAAACGTTCAGATCAGTCTCTACATCATTCCCTATCATCAAATTGCTAGCATTATACTTAGACTTGCTTCACTGTAAGCATTTTACATCTTTGGGCAATATTAAAAATACAACCCATCGTCCATGATTGAGAAGTCTCTTGGAAGAAACAAAACTCACGAATCAATAAGAGAAGGTGTTGTTGAAATTCTTTTCGCCCTTTGTACACTCCACTGCCACCCAATTCAAACCATACAGAGACATAGGCAAGGTCTATACCATCTAAATGACAAACTGAAAAATAGTCGGATATGTGGATGTTGCCAAGTATCCAAGTGCTTGGTGTTATGTAGACAAACGCATGGATGGCAGCCAGATCTCTGAAATACAGGAGACGGTTTATGAAGACGCCTTCTCATTACCATGTCCTGTGCACAGGGAAGACCGTCATCCCAGTTTTCACGTGGAGACTATGGAAAAAGTGATTTTGAGAAAAGATAAAGGGAGCCTGTCTTCCTGGGTAATATCAGATACTGAACCAAAATAAGTGCTCTTGGCTAGTCTGATAGGTAAAATCTCAGCATCTGGCATCTCTCCATCGTAGCTGATGTCATACTGCTCTACTCCCAGAAACGCATTCCTTCCTCCCACAGTGTCTCCAGTAGTCAGGCAAGCATCGGTAGGGTAAGTCGAGCAAATGAGGTTCCTTAAAAGCAAAGACAAATATAATAGTTCTCTTTTGTTCACATTAAATCTCAACTTTTCTGCATTTGGATGGAATGAACCCTATTGGCAGCAAAAGAGAGAGAGAGAGAGAGAGAGAGAGAGACAAAAATAAACCTGAAAAGCCCGTGTAGACTTTTAGCACCCCATTCATCTTACTTTGTAAGACTGGGGCATACACCCGCCAAAGCTGGAAATTTGATTAGCTGGTCCCGTGTGTAAGCTATCTCATGGGTATGGCATTTTAAAATATTTTCCAGATATACAAAGCCATATTGGTTTCTTTCTACCTGTCTGTATAGAGTTATCTTTAAAAAAAATAGAAAGAAAGAAAAAGAAAAAAATCGCATAACTATAAAAATATTATTTTTTCCCAGTGATATTTCACAAATAATCTCAAAGAGAATGTGTCAGATAAACTTTGAATTGTGGTAACCTTAAAGTTCAGGGTATTTTCCCACTTAATTTTCTAGATTTATCAGGATCTAGCAAAGTTTTTTTTTTCCTCCAGTGGAAATTTGATAATAATTTTCAATTTTATACAATACCTTGGAGTTTTGAGAAAATCCTGCTGACGGACATGAATCCAGTTGGAGTCATTCTGAAATGGATAGTGAATTTATTGGCTTAGTTGATAAGGTGATGAAAATCTCTTCTAATCAGTTGAATCTCTTCAGAGAATCAAAGAAGCCGTTTCCACTCCTCTCTACCTCATTAAAGCCTTTGCAGATCTCAGGGAATGACTTAATGGTACATATTTTTTCCCTTTCTTCTTTTGTGATCTTTAAACAGCTTAGCAAATTGTTTCTGGAGAAAACTGTGCATCGGAGCGCAAATGCTCCAATTCAGAAGATACTGCAAACCCTTTGCTCATAAGGAGTGGGCCAACCGAGCCGAAATCAGGAGGACACCAAAACTAATCTGCAGTAGACTCCCTAAGACCAGAAAAAAAATAAGTTGTAATGCACAAGGGCATTTTCTCCTGGAGGCTTCACCTGAGATTTCCATCCTGTCTCTCATTTCCACATTAAGCACAGAGAATAGAAGCGTGGCCTGAGGCAATGCAAGGTCTATTCCTCTAAACTCTTGAATAGTGTCACCACTGGCAGATGCAGCTGAGTTAACAGTGTGAGTTACGGCAGATATATTCGCCTGAGATTTGTCCAAAGCTTTTCTGCAGCGGCAGCACTGGGCAATGAAGGTTAGTAGCAGACGTGAGTACCTATTCTTCAGTTGATATTCGTTATCTAACACTTGTGCAGAAATACGTGTTAACACTAATAAAACCCAAGGTCCTTTTTCCTTCCGCTTGTATGCAAATGAACATGTTAATACCTGCTGCCTCCAGGAAAGGTTAAAAATTATACCCGTTCTGTTACTGAGGAACTTCTCTGTCTTGGCGCTTGTTGCTCAAAAAACCTCCATATTCTAACCCTTTGCCAATTCATAACTCCATTTATAACTCCTTGCCAACATTTTTCCTGGGAACAGGAAGACAATGGGGAAGTGAGGGGCTTTTCCTGGGTCGTGGACCACTTCCTGTGACGTGCAGTCTCCACAGACTGAAGCGCTTTGCCTGAGTTGCTTCCTAGCTCCTCAGCCAGCTCCTGTGGAGGACAGTCACCGAACGCCGAACTAATGCTGATGACGGGTTTTAATCACGAAAGGTGTACAGATATTTTATAATACAGAAACAGCCGTCAGTCATACGACAGTTTGAACATATGCCTCTCTGAAATGTGTAAGCTTTTAAACTAGCTCCTTTTGTGTATAAGATTATTTCCTGATCATTTGTGTTTCAGAGAATAAACCTAATCACTCCTCAAAAAAAAAAAAAAAAAAAAAAGCACAGGTTTCTAATTTGCAAAAGCCGATAAATCTGGCTGAGTAGATTTTACAAGAGAATCACAAACTTATACGACCCATAGATATTATTTCTCTCCATACAAGGCCCAAATCACTATATTTTCTTTATAACCAATTCATCATGCCATTCGCATTTTTAAACAGATTTTAGGAGTGAGTTTTAGCTTTTTTCTCTGTTCGCACATCTCACATCTTGCTCGAAGAAGTTGCATGAACTTTAACTGAGGAGTTTTGCATCTTCTCTTCATCTCAAATGCAGCCTCTGCAGGGAATAATTTCCTGTGGGAAGTGTGGGTGGGAGTGTCTCCATTTCTACCAAAAAGCAAGAACAGCTGCAAACTGAAAAAAAAGAAAAAGAAAACCTATATAGAAAAATGTCAAACTAGGGTCATTTCTACCTTTTCCTCTGAGTAAAGCCAGCCCTCCTTCTGTAAGTACTTACGAAAGAGAATTTGTTAATAAAGATGATGGCGCAAAAACAGGCTAGATAGCACTGAGAAGACATTCACTATTTTTCTCACCATTACAGAAAATACTCTTAAACACCATTTGTCACGTCTGCCTTTAAATGATGAATGTGGTGTATGTCCTTTCTCTCTCTCTCTCTCTCTCTCTCTCTCTCTCTTTCTTTTCTGTGGATCTTTCCCTCCTGCTCTCCCCATCTCTCTCTCACAACCAGTAATTTCACTAGTCTCTGAATTTCTTGTACATGTCAAAGCCAGAATTATGTAAAATACAATGCTTATCCCACTGTGTTTAATGTAACAAATTAAATATGCATTCATACATTTGTTTATAGATACAACTTGAATATATGTGTGTATGCATTTGTATATAATATTATGGTTCTTTTGCATACAGATTAAATATATATATATATATATATAATATTGATCTTATGCACATACACAATTTCTTAAATCCAGTATAATGAGATTTTATCATTTGACGGTCATTCATACTAAATTTAAAAAGTGCTAAAATATAGACACGCATATAATACTTAAAATATGTTGAGACTAGAGCAGTAGTATTTGTTTAGGCAAGAGATACTCTGTGCTTGGTAAATCGTCAAACAGTGCCTAAATTACACTGCTGGGAAATTCTGATCTCCAGCTTAGAACTCTGTGCACCAAATCAGAACATCTGTGAATGGCCTAGTGCACAAGCTCACTTGCAATGATAGAGGATTGTTGTAATGCATATCGGTAGTTTCCAATAATCACCCCAGAATTTGTTTTAAATCGCTTTGAAATCAAACACAGAGCTGGCTTTAAGTGTCAAAATTAAATGCAAATGGAGATGAGGTCATTAACACTAACTTTTCATATTTTTTGAGCTTTTTTGTGTGAGGATTGTGTTTATGTTGTCATTCCTTTTGGAAAGATAAAAAAAAAACTGAGAGTTTCTGAATATTTAACAATGCTATCAGGGCCAAGGTAAGAATTCCAAAGTATATGATGTACTATAATACTGAAAATTTCTCTCAAATGAAAATACAGTGTTGACACAGATGGGATTGTGTTATGGGGTATCATCCATAAACAAAGGATGGTAAACAACTAAGAGATGCCAAGAGTGGGAGGGTCCCCTAATTGGTTATCCAACACCAGGTGGTTAAACCTGCAACCATATGCATACTAATAACACTAAACAGACTAAGTTGTGCTTAGATATTTAAGTATCGTGTGTGTGTGTGTGTGTGTGCGTGGGTGTGAGTGTGTGTGAGTGTGTGTGTGTGTGTGCAAAATAATAGCAACTAAAAAGGGAGGGCTATGACTTCAAGAGGGAGCAAGAGGGGATGGTACATGGCAGGCATTGAAGAGAGGAAGGGGAAAATGATGTAATTATATTTTCATTTAAAACTATTCATTAAAAGCGTTTGAATAGGAAAATATCAACGTGACGCCAAGATTAAATTTTCTTCAGTGAATATTATAAAATAAAAACTGTAAATAAAGAAAAGAATCCTAAGAAATAATCTGAAAGTCAATGCATATTCACAAGAATTTAGTTTCAAGGTTCTTGGTAGATTTATCCACTTTACATTTATAGCACCAGGAAACAAAATGGTGTCATTTGTTTCTTTAAAAAATTTGATCACACCCATTTATTTCTGTGTCGGAGGTATGCACAGACACATGACCCCGATGTGGACATAGTAGGGTAACTTGCAGGTGTTGGTTCTCTTCTACCATGTGGGTCCTGGCAATTGAACTCTGGTCATCAATCTTGGTGGGAATCACTGAACCCATCACACTGGTCACATTTATTTCTTTCTGAAAATGGTCTACAATGGGGTTTCATAAAAAATAACTACTGAATGGAAATTTTCAGTGTTTAATATAAATAATTGAAGAGGTACGTGAAAATAATTCAACGGGCTGGAAGGAAGAATACACGCAAAGTTGAAGAGTAAAGACCACAACGCAAAGTCAATGTTGAACAAAGCATTCACACTAGCCGCATGTTACACTAACAAAGTGTTCAAAATTTGCCCCATTCTATTTATGGAAAATGTCTAGGAAGCTAGAAAACAAGTCAGTCTTGTGGCTCTGCTCAGTTTCATAGATTTGGTCCCTGTACAGATAAAGCTTTACTCTGAACTCAACTATAGAGCTTCTAACTCTATTGGGTTTCCAACTATTGGGTTTCTAAGAATCTAAGTTAAATATGAGAAAATTAGTTAAACGATAGTAGTTAGACCTCTGTCACTACTTTCAGTACAACTCTGGGTACCATTTAAGAATGGACATTGACCTTCTGTGTTCTGTGCAGTGTGTAGTTGCTTGTCAGCCCTCACCAAAGAAACTTCTGTTTGAAAGAAATGGAAGCTGCTACATAGGCACCCAACTGATCAAAAAGCAAACAATTAGAAATTGTGAAACGCCCATCACCAATTGTTGCATCAATGCAAAACCTATACCTACGGCTCAGGGACCATCATAGAAGAGGGGTGCAGAAAGATCAGAAGAGCCTGAGGACCAGGATACCTACTGTTAGATAGTATCTGTCTTCTAAACATGACCGAGAAGCTCAACAGTAGGGTTACAAAACATGACAGCATCATCTGACAAGTCTACATGGTTAGGCGAACTTTACAAGGCCCCATGCCTAGATGAAGAACTACAGGTAATCAACAGTTGAGGAGAGACAAAAACCCAGTCCTCTAATGGAAAGAGTTCCTTGGAATGTTACATTATTTTAACTGCTCAGCCTTTAATAGATGGACGTAACAGCAATACTAAGTGGATCAGTAGATTATAGATGTATGCGTGCGTGTGTGTATGTGTGTGTGTGTGTGTGTGTGTGTGTGTGTGTGGTTAATAGTTATAGAAGAGATCATGAACTTGAGAGGCAGTGGGAAAACAGCAGGAGTTGGAAGGGAAAGGGGGAAGGGAGGAAATGATACAGATTCAGCAAGTGTATGAAATTTAAATTTGGAAAAGAGTTATTATGTGTATATGTCTCTGCACATGACTGCAGGTACACACAGAGGCCAGAAGATGGCTGCAGAACCCTTGGATCTGAATATAGGTAAATATTAGCTACTAGATTGAAGGGTCCAAGGATAAGACTATAAAAATGTAGATTCTAGAAATAGGAATGTAGAAAAAAAAGTTGTAAGCCTAGGAGAATGAGAACAGACTGTCAGCAGCTTTCTCAGTAGCTTAAGGATTAACTATTAACAGTGGGTTACTCTGCTTTACAACCCAGAGCTCTATTTACAAGGCCAAAGCATCTCTCTGCACACTGAGAGCTAGCCTACAGATATGAGCTGAGTCAACTTTTAGGAAATAGATATATGACGTCTAGGTTACTCATTATCCCTACTATGTGAAACCGGCAGCATCAAAAGGGAGACCACAGGGCTTCAGTAAACACCACCTGGAAGTAGCAAGAAAGACAATATATTAAGTACAAACACTAATTTAACCAAAAAAAACTCTGTTAATGGAGATTGTAAAGTAAGGCAGTCTGTATGTGAGTTTTACCTTGAGACTTTAAAAATTCCTTTGTTCAGACCTAACGCTTGGTGCCCAGTATAAAAATGTGGATTCAGAAACCCGCCTTTGCCACAGCCTAACAAAATCCATCTCTGACTGTGGTCTCAGCTAGCAGATAAGCTTTTTGTGCCCAGTGGAGATTTATTATTATTATTATTATTTCCTGTATTCTGGAAAAAAGTTTGCTTCTGATTTATTAGACTTTGGTCGTCTCTCCCCATCTTTGCGCCACCCCCGTGAACCCAACACAGACAAGAGTGCTGGGAACAAAACTTGGGTTTTCTGAAAGACCAGTACATGCTTTCAACTTCTGGGCCACCTCTCCAACACAACAACAACACAGATGAATCTTTAAATTGACATTAAAACTCTAAAAGGGCATATGCAAATTCAATGGAAATTTTTGTAATGAAATATTCACTGATTCAAAACAGTGTATCCAATATGCTACATATATGATATGTGGAACATGGGGATAGTAGAGATGGGTAAAGTAAGAGAAGAATTAGATTCTATATAATTTACAAAGTAAAACAGTTCAAAGAGGAATTCTTTTATAATTGAAGTTTGAGTTTTTCACTTTAAAATTCTTATAACTGATCACGCATTTACCTCATCAAAGAGCATGGGGTAGTCAATATAAACACAAAGAAAAATCTCTTATTTGTGCTTAAATGATGAGATGAACTGGTGAGGCAAAAATACAGAGACTGCCAGAGTACTATCAGACATGAATCTCTCTTTATCTAATCTACATAAATGAAGGAAACATAAAACTGCTTGCAGTGTATATAAAGCTTTGGAAAATATTTTAAATAGGATTTATTTTTTAAAGCCAGATTCATCTATTATTAGAAATGGTCAGCTCTCAGGAAATGCTTGACAAAGGGGAATATTTTCAGGACCTTGGTTTGTCCTTTTGAAGATGAACTACCCCTCATGAAAAAGAACAGCATGGAGGTGACTTAGAGGCTGGCAAATGATGAAAATAATTTTTATTTCATATTCTCAAGAAAACTCAAGTCTTTCATTTATAACTATATGACCTATACCATTAAACAAATACCCACAGTGTTAGGAAGCAAAGCCATATAACTTTGAGGCATTTTTTAAAGAAAGTGTCAAAAGGTTAATCCAATTCTACACTAAAGCATCCCCCTAGCTCTCCAAAGTAAAGTTTAAGATGTATAATCTAGTCTCCTGTGTCTGTTAATCCTTTCCACCGACGATTAGTTCCTGTTTATGTTAGCAAATAAAAAAGATTTAATGTTGGTCAAAGGTTCTCAGAGCGTATTTCCCTTTTAACAAAAATCAATATCCCTAGGAAATGTA